CACTTCATTCTGTGCGAAGAAGCCCACTTTCCTTTTCTAATCCGCTGCCCTGCTGCGAGCTCCTGTGCTTTGCTGATAGTTTTATGTGTCAATTTCCAGAGATCACACTCAGCAAACAGGACTAGGATAGCAAAATTAAAGGAAGTGAGATGATGATTTGGAAAGAAACGTTTGGATTTGTTCCCGTGGTCAGTCATATTCTTCACCTGAGCTCTTGGAAAACTTCTACCTCATGCCACAAGCTTGGGTTACCTGTTGAGCTTTTGAATAGCAGTTAACTCTTTTTTCCACTGTGATGATTTCTAATAATTTACAAAGCATTCTTACTACATGGTGATTGTTTCAGCATGATTTTCAGACAAAAGATTTTACCAGATATCATCTTCCTTGTTACTCTTCAGCACCCTACGCGCAGCTCACTGCAGCAGAAGTACTGCCGTAATGACTGAAAAGTGGAACTGCTGGATATTCTTTCATTTCAAAGAAAAGTAGGCATTTATTTCTCTCTGATTTTTCCCTCTTTCAAATACCATATAGTAAAATTAAGTTTACAACAACTTGAAAATCAGCATTAGTTCTCAGGGAACTGGGAGAACCCCACAGACTAATGATTCAGCTACAAAACCAACAGCTACATTTTTCTGAAAGAGTTCTGACGTAGCAATAGAGATTTAGGTAAGAACCGCCGTTATTTAAAGAAAACTGAAAAAGCTGTTCACAACCTCTCTGATTACAAGCAACAAGAGCTGAAAGACAGGGCAGACTAAACTCATCAGAAGGTTGCTTCTGTTCAATCTAGAGACCTTGTGTTTCAATAAAAAAAGAGATATTTTCTTTACATTTATGCTGTGTCAATCTTTTTCTCCTTTTTAGTTGTCATTCCCTGAATATACCTTTTCTGAGGACTGTACTGTACAGACTGAAGTCTGTACTGCAAGCTGCATATTTTTTTAATCAAAGACTGTTAATATTTACAAGTATCTTCAAGATACGCTGAAGATTTTCCCTATCTTTAACTTCCAAGCCTGTTAATTTGTTCATATTTTCATAAACTAAATCACACATCTTTCAAAGTTTAGCAACACCTAAAGGCAAAATGCCTTACAAACACAAGGAGTCAGAGAATTGGAAAAGAAAACAATACTGAATATAAATTTCAGATTAAGCTTGTATTGCTAGAGTTGAGTTCTGAAGTTCATTGCAAACATGCATTTGATTTCAAAAGGGCAAATAGTCAACACCCTGACTTCTAATTGTTCTGAAATATTTCCTGGCAGAAAGAAAACTAGGAGTAATATATCATTTTACTACAATATTCAGACTGTGGAATAGAAATTCTCAGAGCTGTTTTCATGACAAATAACATGCAATTTGAAAAGTTGCAGAAGTTAATATTAAAAAGCAGAAAATAAAAATCTACAATTTGGTTTTTTGTCATCATAGATGGCACTTTAAAAACTTTATACCTCACTTACATCTTGCCTGATACCTTTTTCTTAACAAAATATTATAAATTAGCTTAACTTTAAGATTAATACTTTAGTGTCAAATACAAAGAACAAGATTTTCAAAGACTTATATTATGTTTATCTCAAAAAAAAAAAAAAGAAAATAGACAAATTGTGAAGAAAATCATATATAGAAATAAGAATATATGTTACTCAAATCAGGAAGCAAATATGAATAGCAGATGAGATTTTTCCCCATATACACTGATTATATTAATAGCTATTTGAATAACAACTGTATTATGAATATGGTTGCATAAAATCAAATTTAACTGAAGCAACATCTGGCATACTAAACCTGTCGCAAAAGATATATCTGTAATTTGCAAAATTAATTCCTTTAAAAGTGTGAAATATTCATCACTCATCATATTTTTAAGATTATGAGCTCAGAACTTTATGACAACCAGATTTCATTAAATCCCCTTGTTGTATCTAAAGACTATTGCTTACAGAGAAAAATAGTGGTGTATTTTCATTAATTTACTACACAAATCATTACAAAGAGTGAGAAGTATATATCTTACTCATAAGGCAGGGTGATTTTCATGTGACAACTTGAAAATGGGTAGTGGTACAGTACGTCTTCTGTACTGGAAATAATGTATGAAAATATGTATAAAAAATGAGAACTCAGAAAAAATAAGATATATCAACATAATTTATTGCAATAAATGCTAACAAATTTGCAATCACTATTTAAATCTTAGTTCTGAAATAAACTCCACAAAGATAGGCCACTATGACAGGAGACAGCTCTGTGCAGAATGAGAGCTTCAGAGATTATTTTTATCTTGCTATTTTATCAGTGTAATGAGACAAATTATCCTCTGAGGATAAATTGATTGAACAACATTAATTTCTCAAAATAAAATGAACAGCCAAAATTCATGAGTGGTTATCTGCTACAGGTAACATTTCATGTATCATTTTATAATACGACTCTTCCATAGTACTAGGAAGTTTCTTCCTGTTTAAAAAGGAATTCTTAACTTTAACTGATTTTATAATTAGTGGTATGTTGGTTACTAACATTAGTGTATATAAACATTTCCACAAAATTTGACATTTGAGTTTTAAATAAAACAATTTAAAACTGACAGGGAATTCTTGGCATTTCTTTTTTCCTTTTCACCTAAAAGAAGTTTAAAGAATAAATTATATGGCCCACAATACTTTAACTCTTCATTACCAATAGTACATTAGTTAAAGTAGCCCTGTGCAAAACAGAGTGTGGTCAACTGCAATTGAAGATGGTGGGCTCAGACTTGCAATTATCAAATACAGAGAAACGTTATCCATCTGGTGCTCTCTGTCCTAAAATTGCACTCCCTTCTCAAAATAACACATCCTCATGGCCTCAGTTGAGCAATGGGATGTACAAAATTTAACCACCTCCTTAAAAGTTTCTTTATTTTTATTTTCAAGTTTTACTAAAATTCAAATTTTCTTGTAAAATTATGTATTTTTACTCCTTATAAATTGTGAATAACCTAAATTTTTTTATCTATATGTATTTCTACATACAGAAATTGATAATGATCACATCTGTTTGAAGATTCATATAGATTTCATCCCACACTGCTGATATGAAGCATTAGCACAATTAAGAGACATTTTGACACCATTGAACTTCTTAAATACAATAAAATGTATGACCTCCATACCGCTCTGTACTACTCATTTCATAAAAAGGAGTATCTATATTATGTGAAAGCTTGTCCTCAAATCAGTCACAAGAGCAAAATATTCACAACAGCACTTATAAAACTGGAGACTATCTCCATTGAAAAACCATTGAACAGTATTTATAAGACTTCATGCAGTATTTCATAACAAGAAAAAATATTCACACCTATTGTAACATGTGCAAGACTGAAGTGGAGTTTAGGAGCCTTCCCAAATAAAATAGTAAAGAGAATGAGGACCTGTTCTTTCAGTGATACTTCAAAGTATCATGGCTTTAGACAAAAAAACTCATTGACATAGAACATGTAAAATTATTGGCATAGTCTTTATTTTGAAGAGATCTCTGCAAGACAGTGAAAGACATTTTCCTCAGAAAAGATGTAACTAAGTAGTGATTTAGAAAAAACTCTTGTAATACCTATTTATTTTATATGCTTATGCAAATATAAAAATACTAAAAAGCTATGACACCTTCCCAGGTCAGGTCCCACATTCTTGTTAAATTTCATTTTCAAGGACACTCATGACATTATTTGGCTATAATAATCACTTGAAAGTAGCTTTTTCTAAGCAAATGAGCAAATATCTGTCTTGATTAAAACCAAGCACAGTAAAAACTGATAAAGAATGTAGTTATGAGTAAAAACAAAACTTACTGCTTTTCATTAAATACAGAGTGAACAGGAGGATAAATGCAGGCATAGCAGATGTGTTAAAAGAGACAGTTCATTTTTAATAATAGGAGATTTATTAGTAAAATATTATCAAGTAAAATAAATGTTTATGTATAATTGGAAATCCTAACATCTACAATTAGTTAAATGTATTTTTCAGGCTTTAGGCATGCATTTTCATCCAAAATTCAATCATTTGTGACTTTACAATAATATCTTCCAGGTTTGAACACCTTCAATGTCTCTCCTGTCTGCCATGTTGGAAAAAAAAAAAAACAAAAACAGAGGAGAGGGGAACTCTGAAGGATCTCCGCAAATCATTTAGCATATGCAAAGATCAGTTAAGCACTTAGCCATACACTATAGTCTCCACTGCTAGATCACAGATATTATTCAAATATATGAATAGTAATCAAAATTAACATTTGTTTCTTTCTATGCAGTTCCTATTGCAATAATATGGCATCTGAATAAAATAGCAGCTTCCTGGTTTAAGCATTTCTACTATACTTACTCAGCTCAGTAATACCCAGACATTGTGTATGATGACTCAAATGAAAGCAAGTCTTTTTCATTCAAAGATCTTAGTTCTCATGTTTCAGAGAAGTATTTTTTTTCCTGAATTCAGATTCTTCAGAAATAGGGTAGCTTCTTCCCAGCTATGTCTACAGAAAAGACTATGTCCAGGCCAAACTGTAAGAAAACCTAAGGCTTTAGGTTTCCCACAGCTCTTTGTGTACGTGAATATATAAGGACAACAGAAGACCAGGGAACTGCAGCGTGTAGCTAGGTAGTTTTTCAATAGCATGTAGCTAGGTAGTTTTTCAACAGGTTTATAAACATTTCTAAAGAAGAGATAAAATAATCCAAACTGTTTGTTGCATATGTCTAACACTGTTCACAATATTGATATCAAAGTGTATGTGCAATAAAAAATACCTAGTTTTCATAAAATGTCTGTATAAATATATCTCCTTGACACGCTTCACATAGTGATTTCTACAGGTAAATTAAACATTTGTTTTAAATGTGCAGTTGTCAGTACTTTGGGGTTATCTTCTTATTTCTATTAGAAACGTTCCTTTGCAAAAGAAAGTCTCAGATAAGAATACTTATACAGAGCACCTTGGATTCATTTCAATAAAAGTATTAAAATTCTGATGTACGTATTTGAAAATAATTTTGTATTTTCAAATAGGCATTGATAAACTGCACAGTACTCATTCCAGTCGTCCTTGTTTAGCATCACCTATTGCTCCCCATACATCAAAGACAAACTCATCTGGAAATGCAAAGTCTCCAAGAGTTTCATCCAATGCCACTGCAAATTCATCTGGGTTTTTCTTGTCTCTTCCAGCTTCCACCATTGTTGCAGCTAAAAAGCAACAAAACAAAATAATGTAGTTATCATAAAAGTGACTGCTAACATATATGGCCAAAATAGTTTTTGAATGTCTATTTTCAAAACCAGGTAAGGTCAGTTTAGGGAGACGTAAAGCTTACCTACTGAATTTAGGATTCAATAGGAATTATGTACTTAAACCCCAACGCACTACCTACATTCTGCTTTGATAAACAGAAGAGCTTCCTTAGAGCACTCATCATATATTCTTCTGTTTCTTTGGCAGAGGTTTAATTTTTAATTCACTGAACCTTCATTTTAATCTTATTACATTCTATTCTGTATTCAGGAGTGAAGGTACATGAAGCATGGGTCTAAAAACAAGGTTAAGCACAACTCTTCTGCGATAACAAGACCCATGCCAGTTCATCACCAACTTCAGTGAGTTTCATACGAGCTTGCTGATCTAATCCAGAAGATCAAAAGGCAAACCTGAATGTTTTTCTCCTTTCAACAATGAAGAAAAGATCTCAGCAAGTCAGAGTTTAAAGTGGCCAATTTTTTCACAGAAAGCCAAAAGGCATAGTGTTTGAACATGGAAAACAACATACAGCCTGCATAACAGATCCATGCAACCAACAGGTTTGCTAGCAACAACCCATGTTTTATGAGTTTAAATGCTGAGCATGACCTGCATTTAGAAAGGAGTAATGATAAGTGGGCCTAAAGAAAACATTTGAATACCCTACTTTAGGAAACAAGAATTCAAATACTACACTCAACTAATGTGTTGTGTAAAATACAGAGAAAATTAAAATCTGGTTTGTTGGATACTGGACACAGTATGTTTGCAACTGCCTGAAAGAAGTCCTGCTCTCAAGAAACTACCATATGACCTCAAACACCTTTGCTTAATTTTTCAGCTTAATTTTATTTAATTTTAATTAACTTTAGCTTAATTTTTTAACCCCAAAAACACCTCCAGGTAGTAAAAAGACTGAGGCATTTATTGTGAACCACACTGTTGTTCTGCTTGGATCTACATTTTTTTCCATACCATCCAAACTAAAAAGTAACTAATTTCAGCGTATGAGTTTGCTTCAGTTATTATTACCTCCAGCTCTGAAAATCAAGTCTTTAATTTATAGCACCCTCAAGGCTGAGAAAACTTTGTGCTTATGCCACTAGGAAGTGAAAAAGTTATTTCTGGAAGTCTCAGCCAGGTGGTTCAACAGTAGACTCCGTTTTCTTGTATACCCATGCTGTCTGGCATTTTCTCTTAACATCCAAGTATCAAAATTTATCAAGCTTTAGACCTTAGTTTGGAAATGGGTTGCTGCTTAGGACTCAGTCCTTAGGTGCTATGCTCATCCCTCAACTTTAGCCACTGCACAGTTTCTCAGATTCTAGGACAAATTACAAGTCTGTTCCAAACAACACTGGATGCTGGCAACCCAGGGATATTAGAGCGAATGAAAACAGTGAGGGCTCAAACCTCACTTGGTCATGGCACCTGCACCTCCCTGAAAGACAGAAAGTGCCAGCACAGGAGTTTCTCTTGGTTAAGCTGGGCCAGAAGAACTACCGGCAGCGGGCTATCATGGTTTGAGGGATGCAGAAGGCTCTGTAAAACAGACTCAGCACGAACAGCACTGCTGAATGCAGTTTATTTTCTGAGCTGCATCTCTGCTCCTCAGCCTCTGTTCATGTACAATACTGTCATTGTGAATAATAGATTAAACTCTCAAACTCTGCTTCATTTCATGATTACTTTACACATCTGCCTTAAACTGCAAGATGTCCTCCATCTTTTGTTATACATCAAGTAACCACCACTTTCTTCATGAGTATATCAAATTCAGGTGTCACACTGAAGGATTTGACAGTTTCTAGCCTTTCAGAAGGATATCCAAGTGGAAAACATGTATTACAGTGCCTCAAAAAGGGAAGGAAGTTCTGAAGCCACAGAAGACCATCTTCACTGGGACAGTCTGCCTTCTACTGCACACATTGTGTTGTATCAACATGGCAAAATCTCCCTGATAAAAAGGAAAATAAACTTCCTCTGCTCTGAAATTTTATTAAATGTATTGAATATTATTTTGTTCACCTGAAAGTCAGCTCAAGTTTATTGACAGTTATGAACTCCTGGCAAACAGTGTTTGCTGTTATGCAAGCTTGTAACAAGCTGTGAGCAAACTTGAGCCATATTCCATATTGTAGATGTCAGCAATAGTAATTCTGAAGAAATTTGATGGTTTGGTTTTAACTACGTTCAGACGTGAGGCTCCAAACAGAATCGCAGTGTGTCAACTACACAAAGCAGTCTAAGGAAAATGTACATAAATCTTGACAAACAAACCACTGATCAAGCCAGTTCAAGTGTAACCCAGTTCCCCAGGCACAACTAGTGGTTCTCAAGGACTCTTGAGACCTGCTTCTCTGCCAGAAGAAATCCAATCCCTGTTGGGTTGGTTCTTTCTGTATCTCCTGTGAAGTTCCCGGGACACTGACTCAGAGGAGTCTAGATGGGAAACAGGCATTAAACAGGGGACTCTTGTTCCTGACAAGCAGAAGACAAATATTTGTCCTATCAGTCCCACCCTATATCCCCTGACACCGTGTCATAAGAAGGTACTTACAGAGGAGCAACCCTGGAGGTAATGAGGTAAAGGGTATAATTTAAACTTCACAGATTTCTGGATATGAACCAGGATATGAAGTTACTCTATATAGACACTGAGAGGGGGTTGGAGGGAGAAGAGCTGTGCAAGGCGACATAAAAGCAAATGTGTCTAGATACAGTTACTCAAGATATTAAAAAAAAAGTTGCCGTCAACAGAGTGAGGATCTAGACAAGTGTTCCAGCAGAAAGAGTGGGAGCAAGGAATTTAGCCACTTTTAAGATAGATTGGTCAAGATATACAAAAAAGCCATATGACACAGACAGCAGTGATAAACCAAGACAACACAGCATTATATTACAGTCCAACTGCCCTAGCTGAAACCTCGGAATTACACAGTAATAAACTGTCATGAACAGAAAATGTTACTTCAAACACAATTTTCTTTAAAGACTGAGCTTCCCGAATTATGAAATAGAACCTTAAAAATAGTTTATTATAGATTTACCAAACTTGAAAACAAAATCCACTAAACTTAGATAATCAAGACAACTTTCAACCCAGTCAAGCAGGAGTCAGAATGTCACTGCCGTGCGAAAGCAGCAGCCTCAAATAAAAGTGTTTTCATCTGTATTGAGCAACAGTAATCAGCACTACCATGGTACATTTCATGTACTATATTTATTAAAGCACATTCCCCTTCCCAGATTCCCCTGATGTAATGAAATATGCTTCCGTGGAATGACTGCAGGGCCGTCACTGCTGGGCTGTACATTTTCGGTAGCTCGGTGCTGACCTCTCGTGTCGGCAGAGTTGTATTACCGTACAGAAAATCCTCATGCAAGATGCAAGCCATCCTCCCCGATTTTCACACTCAGCTTGTGTACATCTATGTACACGAGTGTGCAACGCCAAACCCTGCTTCACAAGTTTCATACATACAGAAACACTAAAGCTGACCAGTCTTCTCTATCACCCAGTGTACATATTGTTATTTCCCCAGGCAGCTAACACAGAGATGGGATAGCATCCCCTGAGCGGCACAGCTGTGCAGAACATGCATGTTTACACAATAACATTTGCAATGTGTAATTCCCAAGGCAAATCAAAAACTACTGATTGCCAAGGCATTTAGCAAATACTTGCCAACTTGTAAGAAAACTTCTCTGGTTCTCAGAGGGTGACAGCTCCGTGCCAAATTGCCTCCGTTCCCCTCCCTTTCCTCCACTGCTTCTTGTAATAGCTGCACAATAAGTGATTACAGGAATTTTATTCCAATAGAACATTTTTCCACACTCCAGATAGCCCCAATTGTTTTCAGTTTTGTTTTGTTTGTTTGTTTCTTTTAAATTTCACTTCAGGCAATGCTCATACCTGAGAAATATTTACATAAAATATGAAAAGTTCAGCAAACCTAAAAGTGATGAAAGGAATTGGAAGTCTTCTCAACTTTAACTGAGAAGCTCAATATCAGGCTTCCCAGAATATGAATAAAGAAGTATGATGACTTTTTAAACCTAGTCCCTTTAAAATAACTTTCAAAGATCTTTCACAAAATCCTTATTTTCACTTTGGATAGACACATGTGGCATAAGCCATGAAAGCTATGATCTGCCTGCCATTGTTATTATCTACCTTACATAGTGGTTTGGCTACCTACATTCTATCCTGTAACGTCTAAAAAAGCATTTTATGAACAGTCATAAACAATATACCCCAGAGTGTATACAATAAAATCCTTTGGGAAAGGATGTCTGGGGACAGAAGGAGCAGAAAACAACAGATTCAGGGAGAATATCACTTTTGTCAAAGCATTTCAAGATAAAAACATCTATCCAATATTGCTGGGTTGGATTTGTGAGCCAAGAAAAGAAGCTTGGGTGACAAAAAGTTTAAACCTGTTGGAACATTTTGACTAGACGGTAAGTTTGAAAAATAAAGTCAAGAGTGGAGAAGTAGATTTGAAATTCTTCTAAACAGAGGTGGAGAATATGCAAACATATGTAATGTCTGACAACATTACAGGGAACAACAAAAAAGGAAATAATCATCCAAAAGCATAAAAATAGAACAAAACAGAACAAAATATCAGCAGATGAAGAGCTAGCCAAAAGATGCTGAAAGAAAAAAGTTGAGAAGACCTTTATGTCATCATTTTTCTATTGGCAGCATTCTGGGGTTGGATCCCATAGATACAGGCTTCCTCCCACCCAGAATCTTTGAGATCAAACACAGTCCATAACAATTCAAGCCTCATTGATCTAAAAAATAAATGTCACCAATATTTTTCAATAACACTGCTTCCTGAGTCCCTCCTACTAATCAACGGTTCACATTCCTTTACTAAAAGGCACTGGTAGGATTTAAAATAACCTGAATTATCTCTCAATGGTGCATTTACATTTTGAAGAAGATGGAAGTAAAGCCTTGGCCGAATTTCTGATATCCCCATAAACTGGCTGAGGAATATATTTCCAGAGCCAAGTGTCCCTTCTGCAGATTAAGTCCAGTTTTCAGTAAAATAGAGTAGAGAGGTAAAAATATAAAAGTGCATTCAAAATGCAGGTATGTAAATCTCAACAGCATTTAGATGTCTGAAAACAAAAAACTGTGCCAAAAAAAAAAAAAAAGCAAGTGTATGCATTTCCATTAAATTACTTCCAAGCATTTTGCTCTAACTTAGGGATCTGTGTGTAGATTTAGTCAGCCATTCTTGAACCTGTCAAGATACTTAACTATGCAAAAATTAAGGGCTTTATCTCATCTTTAATTCTGTCTATAATTTTACATTATATTTTCCTTTCTTTTCTTTCTAACTTCTGGCTTAAAACTGGGGCACTGTATTAGAATTCAATCACATCATAGAAGTGTCATTTTAATGGAGATGAAAGAGCAATATTAACTGACATCCAAAGCTTCTGACAAACAGAACGGTATGGGTGTGAGCAATGATTGAGATCTTAATCACTTGTCGGCTGTCACATTGTGATGACTTGCATTTTCAACTAATGTGGCTTGAGTAATGAGTGAAATTTCTAGCTGAGTGGTGATTGGCATTCTCTGAATGAATCCTTTCCTCATATTTCATTTTCATGGGTGACTGATCACATCCAGTATAGGAAAAACCGACGTGTGTTAATTGAACAGATTTGTGACAAGTGATTAGCTCTCCTTTCCCAAAGAGTCTTAGAGCTGTTTAATTGTTTAAAAATGATAAAACTTTCTATTTTTTGTCATCACCATTGGCCCTCGACTCTAAGATTTGAACTTTAGGAAATGGCTTCAAAGGTGCAAACTAAAGCTACATGAACCCTGCAGTCTTTGATTCCTGACAGTTTCTCTTTGTTTCACTGCCTTTTTGGCAAGAAGAGAAAGAAGAGGTGAAGGGCAAAACAACAACCCAGCTGGGAAGAAGACTTATCTCTGAGGACAAAGACCTCTTCCTTCTTTGAGTATTCTTTTAAGGCATTCTTTGAAACTTTCCAAACTACATACTGAAAGATGAAGGACACTAGATCTTTTGGAGGAAAAAAAAAAAAAAGAATCAAGGAATTAATGGGAAAACTCTACCCAGTGCTTGTCAGTCAGCTCCCATATATACTGAAAGCTGAACTCCTCAGTCTACTGTACAAGAGCCATCCCGTTACAATACCAAGAGCCAAAAGCACAGGGAACACCAGTTCCCATGGGAACTTGCTTCCCCATCCCAGAGCAGAGCATAGCACACCTCAGCATCCCAAGAAACCATGCTCTAGCCGAGGATCTCAGCGTTCTGGGCTATGGACACCAAAACCAGAACACCTATAGCTGCTTATTCCTGTAGGGCCAGGAACCTGGGGACCTTGGAGGTAACCTGCAAGGACAGGCACCTCCAAAAGCCTGGATTGAGCTGGGACTGCAACAGCTGCAGGACAAAAACAGCTCCCGGAGGGACAGCTGGCACGAGACTAGGAGCTTTGAAGTCTGAGCCAGAGACAGACCAAGTGGCGGAGGCTGCAGGAGAGTGACAGGACATGGGATCCCTCCTAACCTAAACAGAGGGTCAGCACCACACAGGGCTCCTGGGAGTGTATTACATGGCAGGGGCATCACATATTAGAGCTCCTAGGAGCAGAATTTTTGAGAATTTTTAGATTTCTAGGAACTGAAAAGTTTAGATAATACCTACAAAACAGAATTTGCAAGTTTTGGGCAGCTTTGCTCTCTCTTCTATGCCAGGAAGCCCACCTCTACCTTAGGTTGGGGGACAAATAACACTTGACCTACAGTTTTTCCTGCTGGTAGGAGCAGCCAACAAAGGACTTTAGGCTATTCAGATAATCCCCTGTTGTTTTCATTCCTCTGTGCTAACTGCTGCCTGTCCAACCCTTCTGCTCTGCCCTTAGCTTCATGCCAGACCCATTTTCTCTTCTGCTTTGCCTCCTCCACTTCTTTCTCATGAAAGCTTTCTTTTCCAAGATCGCTTTCCATTTAGCTTATTCTTTCCTAAATCCTGGCTGATTTTTTTAGATATTATCTAGGACAATAAATACCTTCCTCTTTGTCTCAATATTAGTCATTCCAAAAGATCATATGAGGACTACACTGGCCACAGCTGGCTACAGGGGCACTTCTTACTCAGCTGGACGGCAGCTTCTTCCCATACAAACAGAAGTTCCTATTCAGTTGTTGTCAGATTAACCGAGAGAGAGAAGCAACAGCTGCAAGGACAAGTTTGGTGCAGTTTTAAGGAACTTATGACACTGGGGTTGAATAGTTTCTTTCATTATAAATTGACGGTTGTGATAGTTAGTAAATATTCTGGAAAATTTCCCATGTTCTTCAGAACACAGATTTTCGAGAATTTGATAAACTTGTGTAATTACTCTGTCAGTTCCCTTTGCTACATAGTTGCCCTTTCACTGATGAAGATCTCAGATACAAACTTAAGTGACCAACTGTGATGTGTCGAAGCCAAGGGGCAAAAGAGCAAAAAAGCATATAGTCTTGCTTATTCTTAACAATCCTTAAATGTGGTACACACAAACTCCACTAGAAAATACATGCCAGAAAGAATACAGTAATGACAGTTAATGTCAAACAACTAAATAATTCATGCAATAGAGTATAGATAATGTGCAGGAATAAAAGAGGATTGATTAATTACACCATAAGGCTTGTAGTGAGAGACTCTTTCTTTTTATCACAGACACACATCTGCAGAAATACAGGCAAGTTTTTGAGACTGCATACTGGACAAACTTTGCTTCACTTACATCCAGAGACTAAAGTACTCAATAAATTTTAGACTACAGAAAATAAGAAATTATTTAATCTTCTATCTGTATGTATCTGTTAAAAACTCACCTAATTCAATATCTCTTATCCCCATATATGTTTCAAGAAGCTCGTCCACTTTTTTAATTGCTTTTTCTTCAACTTCAGTTGGCTTTGTTGAAATAAATAGAGAAAAAGAGCAAAAGTATGATTATATCCATGCAGATTTCAAAATAACCAGCAATTCACCACTGATTATCCTTACTCCCATCCTAGCCACCTAGACTTACAAAATCTACAAGTAAAACATGTTATTCCAGTCTCTTTCCTTCTTCTCACAAACCTGAGCCTTCCTCCTAACACCTAGCCACACAGCTCTCACATTCAAATTAAACAGGGGCCTTACATCTCCTGACACTACAGATCTTTATCAAATCCTCATCAGCTTTAGAGGAACCTAGAATAAATAACATTCCTTCTTTCAAACCCTAATTCTGGTTTTACACATATTCATGTCAACCTACTTTATTAGCCTCTCCTGACAGCAACACTTACACCAGCCCAGTACACTTTGCAGTGTCAGAAACAGAACCAACTCTACAACCATCCTCTCCCTCCCCCTCGCTCCCCCCTTCCCTCTTTTCAACACTCCTTGGTCTTATCTACCTTAAATTCATCCATGTAATCCATCTAAATACAGTCTCTCTGTTTCCAAATTTCTCAGCCTCATCCTATCCCTGCCAATCTTCAACTTCATATAAGCATTTTTCCCTGCAGAAGGCAGTCTTCTTAAGTCCTACAAGCTTTGTAACATACAGATTTTTCCTTCCTACTTTACCGTATCAACATTGGGGAAGAATAAATCAGGTGCTAGATTATTAAACTATTGAAGGGCCCCAAGACAACCATACCATTTCCTCCACAGTAGCAGAGCCTTTGGTTCTCAGCCGAAGCGTTTCTCTCCCTCTGGAGATTTTAGCCTCTTGTAGAGTTCTACTATTGGACCTTGGTTCCAACTTTTCTAAAGACAAAACAAACAACACCATCACCAAGAAAATACCAAATAAAACTAAGTATATGGTACATCAGAATATGATGTATCTGCTTTGGTCATTATATTACTGTTGCTTTTTATTCTAATCAAGATCTAGGCATATATAAAATTTAATTATAAACTAGCTGTATTCTAAGTATAGCTTTGATGACAATTTCTTGTCTTCAAACTTTGGTATCCTCTTGACTGCACTGAAGCTAGGACTTCCATTGCCCAATATAACTATGCAGGCTTATTGCACTCAACTTCATATATGCACTTTGCATAATTTTATTTTCTTATTCTACAGAAAAGTATTTATTACTTCATATCAGATAACAGCTGAAGCCATCAGCCAAATGTTGACTTATCCTAGTCTTTACAGGCAGACTATATAGCAGGTTTAGCATTGCAACATTTCCATCTTTCACTGATGCAATGGTGCAAACACTACTGCTAAACACGTCATGATGAGCCACATTGAGCTGAGCTAACAATTTGACTACAGTCACATAGGTGAAATGTCCATAAGTAGATCTGCAGGAGTTTTTCCACTGGTTTCACCGAATTCATTATTTCATGCCTGATAAATCTCTACAAAGAACATCTGGGTTTACCCAAAGTTTTCTTTGACTGAATTCAGCTTTCCTTGTTTAATCTTGGGTAAGGGCACCCCTGTTATGGAGTATGGAATCATTTAAGATTTGGCTTTCTTGTTCTTGGACATAATTTTACATTCAAGAGTGGTAAGGCTTTAATTTACTTACTGACATGGGAGTTAAATAGTTGATCTGGAAAGTGCTAGGAGAGGGAGATAATTTTGCAGAACTGTTTTTAGCTGTGCTGTTTTCTCTACCAGATTATTCCTCCTCTTAACAGCAGGCCTTTCTAACAAGCTCTCCTTGAAGGCAGGACTTTAACATGCTATATTAATTTTGCCCAGGTAGATTCCAACTCATTCTTGCATAAGTAGTCAAAAATCCAGATTATTCTGCTGAACAAGTCTTGAAAAGTAAATTTTAATTGGTTTTATTTTAACAAATAGATATGGCACAGTCTCTTATATATGTACTTAGGATCAACACTTTTCCTTAATCCTTTTATTGCTTCAAGGACAGTTTAAAACATCCTTATGATTGTCATCATTTCTGCTAGACTTGTTTCAAAAGTCATTCCTGATACAACATACATCTTTTTCTAGTTCTGTCACCATTAGCACCTTAAAACTCATGATTTGACATAACCTTTATTTGCAATACTTCAGATCAAAGCTCTCTGGCCATCACAGAAACTATTTTTCATATTCATATAATTTAAATTTAGAGTTTGTGTTATGCTGCCTTTACATTGTTTCTGTTAATTTCCCACCAATTCATAGTGGGACAGCTTCTGACTGGTAAGGACCAATCTTACTCAGACAAGCCTTTAACTCTGTGCTACAAGCCTTGCCTCGAGTAGCTGAGGCAGCCTGCGTGCAAATGTTAGAAAGATATTCAATCAGTAAATTATACATATTTCACATTCTGCTGAGAGGAAGGAAAAAAAAAGTCAGTAATTTCACACAGAGGCTTGTCTCTTATTTTTCTACCCTCACAAACTTGTGTTGAAACTAACAGAAATTCAGCACCTACTTGTCCAGCAGGATCTGGATCTTGTTTGTCATCTCCTCTGGGGTTGTTCTCAGTATGCTGCAGCTTAAATACTATCTTGAATAAATTTATGCCTAAAGCCTAACTGCACCTAAGGCTAGAGGCGGGATATTCTAACATATTGGGCATGGCAATTTGTGAATTAATTTCTGTAGAGTAAAAAATAACATGGATCTTTCAAAAATCTTACCAAAAAGCTCTGATTGCCTCTTAATTCAATGTCAGATTAAAGGTATTGCCATGGAATTAGCAGGTTTCCTTCTCTACATCACAGGCAGACTAAAAGGTATCTTAATAACCTGACTAAAGTAATTACTATTAAACAATGGCTGAAGTCATCAACCAAATGATTTACCCTGGTCTTTACAGACTATGTAACACATTTAGCACTGAATACAAATTATAAACCCATATTAAAAAGGTATTCCTATATTACTAATTGCAATATTATACATATGTAATACTACTTTAGCATAATGTATAACATTCACATTTACTTAACAGGAGTATCAGCTTATAGCCAAATACATTAGAGATTAAGTCATAACCCTCATTCTTCACAGAAGCACCAAAAGCAAAAAGAAATCTTCGCATTCCTCTCATTTTCAATTTCTGCTGCTATTCTGACACCAAGTGTCAAGACTGGTGTATAACAGCAGTTGTAAACTACTAACAGGTAATAATAAATACGAAAAATAAACATTTCAAACTTTTGCTGCTGTGGTGAAGATGCTGATTTTGAAATTCCTGGTAGTGCAGGGACGCACAAGGACACATACACACTTACAATTTAGCAGTATTTTGAAGTTTTTGTTACAGAAAAATGCTGCATAGTTGGGGGAGATATAAAAAATTGAGAGAAGAAATATTAAAACTCAGTCTCTATTTTGACTCCCTGAGCTAAACCTTTTTTCTTTTTGTTTACTACATTGATAAAATCAATATACAAAAGGCTTAGCAGTAGGTATGCATTTCTCCCATAAAACTATCAGTTTCTTAGAGCATGTAGGTAGTAGGTAGAGACAGAGCTTTGCCATACTGCTTTCTTGTAATTCTGAGTATACCTGCTGTATGACTAGAGATCCACAAAAAAGTTGGGGAGAGGGAAAGCAGGCAGTCATGCAGCAAAGGTGGTGCTCTAGGGAATACCAGACAGTGTTTTCTGCAGCATCCTTCTGCATTAGAGCGCGCAGGCCGCAGCAAAGGGTAGAGAAATCGAAAAATCTGACACACAGATGAACAGGGATTATGTATCGCTATGTATGTATCGCTAGAGGAGAAGAGGAGGTTCAAGGATCAGCACATTAGGGAAGTGATCCACGCTTTAAAACTGTGTGTATGAAACAATTCCTGTACTTATTTTGCATCATCACATAGTGGCAAAGGAATTAAGCAACTGAGACTCAAGCTGAAGCAGCCTACACCAGGGTGACTGCTGGAGAAAGCAAGATGGAATAAAATCCATTCATAATTTCCCACCTCAAAAAAAAAAAGAACAAATGTACTTTCTTGTAGCAGCTATGTTACCTTCGGTAGATACCTGGCTGCAATCTGAAAACCAATTTACAATGCAATGCAATGTTGGGATTTCGATATCCAGTGAACAAGGTGGACAGTCAGGTCACTCACCAAATGCCTTCATAGGCTCTATCAACTCCAGCTTAAACATCTGACCTTTCTCCAGATCTTTCAGCATTTTGGCAACTTCATAATGCCGACGATCTGACACGTTTTTTCCATTTATAGTCTCTATGTGATCACCCACGCAGATAATTTTGGTTTGGTCCATAAGACTACCTTCTTTGATTCGCTATTGTTTAATAAATAAATAAATAAATAAATAAGAAACATTTCTTTGAACGGTAAAGAGTTGACACCACAGTTTCAAGAATGGCAGTTAACAACATCAATACTTTTGAGTTTATCTGAGCAGCAGTGCATTTTGTCTATAAGATTTTCATAAAACATATTTTGGAAAGCATTATTTTTTCAAAGTATTTTAATAAGCATTGAAATTAAATCAATACACAAAAAAAAGAATGCAATCATACTTTAGAAATTAAGGCTTCTGAATAAGCTAATATTTTTGTGCTTTAAAACGGAACCCAAACATGTCAGTAATGTGAATGTTTAATTGTGAGCTTTGGGTTTTTATTTTGATTTAATAGCTTGGCAAGCACAGTAACAGAACTTTTCTCTTCTCAATTACATGCTATAAAGGGTTAATCTTAATAAGATCCATCTATAGTGATAAAACCTCTACCATTTTCCTCATCAAGCTATACAACTGCATATTAAAGTATTTCGTCTGAAATAACAATAAAAAATTTCTTCTAAATGTGATGTCATGGAATACAAATACAAGTGGTCTAAAGGTCATAAAACATAACAGAAGTTAGCATTTATAGTTTTTGAGAAGTGGAATTTAAAAAGTGAGACAAAAAAATCTTTAAAAGATCTTTATGATTTATCAAGTCTATTAAAAGACACTTAAAATTTCAGTGATTCTGTTGTTTGTTGTTATATGCTGTCATATTTGTTTATCATGTACCTAAGTCATGTAAGCTGCTGTCCTATGGCTATTTAATAGAAAAGCTATGACATAGTAGAATATCTTATATTTTGTAGAGATATGAATTTCATTCTAATATCTTCCTGAATAACATACTTTTCAATAAAGGCTGATGTTGTTCAGGCTAACTTTGACTGAGATAACAGTGAGATAAGAGAGAGAAACACATTTCCACCTACTACTATAACACTTAGCATAGCTGCATAACTATCTCAGAAATCTGCTTCTAGTTTATGCGCACATGTCTGAGTCCACGTATGTGGCTCAATCTGAGAGAGTCAGTGGGAGGTGTGATAGTGCTTAGTGTCCTATACTGCAACAATTTTTAGCTTCAGGCTGAGTTTAACTCTTTCTAGCACTTTTTTTCTTTAACCTAGATTAAAACCAAAAAGAAGCCTCAGGGTGAATGAAGAGGCGGGTATCATACATACACCAGAAACCAGGTCCCAAATGCATTTCTGTTACCACATGCCAGGATTCAAAAGCATGCCCACCAGACTCCAATTAATGCTTAGTCTATGTGTTGAATGCATTTTCATTTAGCTTTTCTTCTTCACTTGGATCCTAACACCAAAACTGTTAAAGTAATATTCACTGGCTAAGCTATTTGTGTCATATCAAACTTTTTTTTTTTCATATGACTTAGTTTTTATCATCACTTCAAGTTAACTAGCCAGAGACGGTCAAGCTACATTGTCATGGTAATTAAGATGCAATTGATATGCCTGTATTTCAAGTTCTCTGCAGTCCGTTTAGAAGCTAGGATCTGTATTTTCTATGCAATGCCTAAAATTAATTGCACCACCCCATTTTATAATGTCTCCTTATACAACAGTCAGTCATGCTTCAAGTTCTACTGTTATTCTTCGTATAGCTAATTTGATTCCATAATACATCTTCCCATCTGGTCATGTACCCAGAAAACAAATTTGTGAAAGCAGAATGACAGCAAGTTTTGGCTTTAGCAAGACAAAGCAACATTAGATTTCATAGAAAAAGAACCGTAGTTCAGAGTGTCAGGTTTAAAACTGGCCAGGTTATATGTCAAACCTAGAAACTGCCCTGTTATTCAAAACACAATAAAATTACTACAGCCCATATCAGCTTTCAGCTACCCACAGATAGATAAATTTACTATTGTTAATCAATAATGGAACATAGCAATGATTTTTCAAAGAAAGTAAATATATAAACAAAAATAATTCTATCAAACTTTAAAGTAGAGACAATCTCTGCCTAGACATTTACCTAGACAACCAAGTATAAAAAAGATGCAGTTTTTACTTTTGCATATGTATTTTCTACACTATTTTTTAAAAATCCATTAGCTAAATATGCAACAGCAACAAACTAAGCTCCTAGAAACTCCTTGAAACTGACGCATTGCCATGAAGACTGTACCGGTTTCATTATACTGCTGATTATTAGACCAGTACAAGGACAATAATACCTATGTTCAGACAAGTTTTATACAATTTACTGGAAATTACAGTTTGTCTTGCTAACATGGTGAGGGTTTTCCAGTCTGCTCCAATTATGCAGTAGTCTACGTGATGGCTGTTCTCTCTCTCTGTATTACCAAGCAAGCACAGAGGGAGTAACACTCTGTACAGTGCTGCACACGTGAACTTTAATCACTGAAGCACTGCTTTCAATGCCTTCTTTTAAAATGCCACATAAGCAGCAGTGTGACTGAATGTTACAGGCTGCACGGATGCTGCCACTAGAAATTCAGAATTCTGTGTCTATAAACATAAAAATGAGGCTATGATTTTGCCAAAATGCTTACTGGAACCCCCACTGCATCTCTCAAGCACGATCTCAATCACATTTTTCCACAACAAAGACAAGGAAACCTATTTCTAAACCACATCTTGTTTTATATCCATAGTAGCTAAGGAATGAATAGAGAATACAACGTCTTCATACAAGAAGCTCTGTTTACGATAGCAATGAGAACAGCGATTGGGACAGCAGTAATCAAAGGTAATTGCCAATGCCTCACTAATAATGAATAACTGGAGCACATTAGAGCAAAACATCTAAAAAAGGCAGAAAATGTGATTAAGGTTCCTTATACCTAGTCTAGCAAGAAGGGTAGCATAATTTCCTCAGCCTCTACTTGTCTCAAAACATACTATCTGGAGGTCATATAGAAGATTAGGAAGAAAGCAGTTATGATTAATATATTGTACATGTTACTGCTCATAGCTGCTACTCAATTATGGTAAATTGTGTTAATCCATATCTTTAGCACCTTTTAATTCACCCTACCTAAGGCAAGAATATCAGAAAGCCAAAAAAGCACTACACTTGCACCTATTCTTACACAGCACAAAGGCTTCTGCCCTATGAACAGTCATAAAGACTGAAAGAACATGATCTCGTTATCACATGAGTGACAGAAGTTCTATAAGCACCTAATTAATGACATCAGAAAATCACTTAAAAAAAGGAGGGGGCAGATGCAAGCAGTATCTAACACCTACCACCTCAGGGTAAGTCAGAAAATACAATGGTCACATTGTAAAGCTGATACACATTACAGAAGCAATGAACAAATGAACTAATTTTGAATTACAGGCAGTACTGAAATAGCTGAACTAATTTTGAATGATGTACCTAAAGAAAAGCAACTTTATTTTTTACCTACTGTATATGCGATGATAAAAGATTTTATAGTTCTAAAGGATAATTAAACCAACAATTAACCTGTTACAGTAACAGAAGCTTCTATAGCACAAAGTTTTTCACTGGTAATTAAATCTACCTTTATAAACGGACAGCCAGTTCCATTGTCTGTAATGGTAAGACCAAGCATATCATCAGTTTTAAGAATTTCCACTTCTTTTCGTTGTCCTTTTACATGGGCAAATATGAAATCTTCAAGGCCAATTTGTGCACCTAAGAGCTTGTCCATATCAGCTTTGTGAGTGTTCAAAGTGCAAAACATGATCTGTGCAGGAGGAAAGCAAAACACATTGAGTTTAACAGTATATTAGGTTTGGTGAGCTTGATCGAAAGATAAAAGGAGAACATAGTTCTGGCCTCTCTGACAGATCCATAGCTGAAATGATGATAACTCTCCTTCTCCGGCTGCTCTGGGAGAGGTGATAGTCTCCATTCACACACATGACAGGAAGCATCAATAGCTTAAACTCCGCAGATAAGAGCTGGCAGGGAGCAAAGGAAAGAGACGCATTTGTGTCACTAGCCTCTCAGGGCCTGTTTCAGCACACCAGCTCTGACACAGGCATCTTGAGCTAGAGCAGAACAGCTTGTTCCAGAGGTTACAGTGAGCAAACCAAAGACCCATCACCATCTTTTGCTTCATTGCTTACTCACCTCAGATTCCACAGGATTCAAATCTCACTGGGGACTGCTTTAAAACATAACTACTTGAAAGTAGTTTCACGGGAAAAAAAGAGAACTTACCAAAACAAAAGGGTCATGAAAGAGCATGAAATGTTTTATATTGCTTCATGTGTTCCCCCATTAGCTCAGAGCACATTGTCTCTGGGTGGGTTTGCTTAGTTTCCTAGCCTTCCTCCAGCCTAAGTGGGGGTCATCTCTGTTCCAGTTTAGTAAAAGCACGGCTTAAGAAAAAGGGCAAAATTGGTTCTTTATAAGTCAGCCTTTCTGAGGGATTTCCCTTTAGCACTGGGTATCAGGCATTCCTTTTTCTCCCTACATTTATGCTAGTAGTTCTTCAACAGGGAGGTTTATTGTCCTCGGCACAGGCAGGGTGAGACTAACCCAGCTGTACTGCTTGGGGACAGAGACAATGGTTTTGCCCACCATGGTGCTGCATGGAGGAACTTGGCCAGTCCGAGCAGCCTTTGGGCTTGCTGCTCTTTGAGTACAGGCTGTACTCAACAGCTTAGCCAAAAAAGAAAAAAAATAAATCCAACGCTCCTGCTCACAGTAACTATATCTGCCCGACTCCTTTCCAAGCTGTAGCTGGAGAGGAGTAAGAGTTGAGGGAGGCCCCACACAGCCTTCTCCTGTGCAGCACCAGAGCACAGCGCTGCAGCTGAAACAGAGAAACTCCGCACTCCAAAAGAAACTTGGAGAATCCCTAAAATCTACTTCACTGAGGCAAAGAGCACCCTTAGAGACCATCTTTCACCTGCAACTGGAAGCCGGGGAAGAGGTGGAGATTTGCCACTCCATTTGGCCCTCCACAGGTGGCAAAGCCACCACTGCAAACCGTCAGACAAAGGCTCTGCTGCCAGCAGTACACATATGGCTCTGACAGGACAAGAGATAAAAGCAGACACTTATCTAACCCCTGCCTATATCTGCTGGACATTATTTTCCTTCAGACCGCACCTTGGACCACCTTGCAGCCCACTGCCCACACCAGCTCCAAATTAGGAAGTGGAAAAAGCAGTGCCAACACATGAAAAGAAGTACACAGTGGGAAGCTAGACTAACATTTGAGAAAAACAGCAGCAGGATGTTGCTCTGTGTATCTCATCTTTGCTACCACTCTAGTGGCAAGTGGCAGACCTTGAGGAGCAGCAGGCCAGGCCAGCTGCCCCAAAACCCAGGCACAGACCTGGGCCCGCAGCCTACTGAACCCCCGGGTGCTTTGCTGGAAATGGAGGGTCTCCTTCTGCCTTCCCAGCTTCCCTCACTATGCTTGTAAAAGCTATGGGGTTTTCTGCACCAGAACACTTCAAATACCTTTTCTTTCCTTCTGGCATCACTGGATAACAGCAGAAAAACTGAAACAAAAGTCATCAACTTATTCAAATCTATTCCAGGTCTAATGAGGGGTGAATACTTTTCCTAATGTATTCAACAGAGAGCTTTTAAGTTTCTGAAGCTTTCCAGAACTTAGATTCTCTAACTACGAGGCTTTTGGTTTTAAAAACTCCAAGTTTAGTAGTAAGATGGTGTTTCGTGATGGTGGGGGGCTGTCTTCTTTAGTTGTTGGTTTTTTATAAATAAATAAATGAAAACCCCAACAGCCCTACTTCAAAGGCTAATTGCTTATCTCACATAATCCATCAAACATCCACTGCAATCTAACACCTTACTTTAACAATAAGAGTTGTAAGAGTACACCCTTAACAGACAGCAGCTTTATTCTCTCAGGTAATGCAAAGTTTTTCAGTTAACCAATACTCAAGCAGTAACATTACCTAGAGAAATTCAGCTGGTTTTAAGTATAAAATAAAATTTAATTTTCTAAACAATGATCATCTCTAACTAGCAGCATTTTTTTTAAACCAAGAAGGTTCAATTCAAACAGACTGTATAAAGTTCACATATACATTTTCAGCTCTCTCTCAAGCTACACAGTAACTTGGCTAGATTACAACTGCAATTCAGTTGTTGTTCTTACAATGAACAACAACCACTATCTCTTTACATTTTAGACATTAGCATCCTTCATCTGACCTTGTCAAACAGACAATCATCTAGTTACTACTGTCCTGTCACACCTTTGAATAGATAAAATTGGCAACAGAGCAGAAATGTGATATTTAGAAACTCGATCCAGAGTTTCTCTTTTTAGACCTTCATCTGGATGGCATTCCTACTACAGCCTATAAGTCTGCAGAATTTTCTGTGAGTCAGTTCTGTGCTAACCACAAGGTTGAGAGAGCATCAGCCAGTCAAAAATAAAACTTCAATCATTCTTTATCCTCTTTTAGTGAACAACTGCTTTTTCTCAGAACAGATATATGCAAAGAGTAATGTACTAAAGATGTATCTACCCAGAATAATATACCGTTACACCACCTATCAGTTACAGCACAGCTTTATTTGTACATGACAGACCTGTCAATTCAAAAATGATATTTTTTCATCGATTTTACATAAGTTTAATAGAAATACCTAATAACAGCCTATATACTTAAATACTTGAACAGCAGCCACTATAGTACACCTTCCATTCACTCAAAGTTTGTATATTTTTGATAGTAATTTTCTTACCCAGAAATAAAGCAAGAAAAAAATTCAATGTGCAATTCTCATTGTTAAGTCTTTTCTCTCTCTTTTTGCCCTGAAACTTCATATGCATTTGATCTTTAACTCAGCATACCAGTGCTGTGACATTTCATGCCAATTTAGGCAAGATATTATAAATCATAACTGTTACATCAGTCATGGAGTATCTAGGATACCTCCTTCACTGAGAGAGTTATCTTGTGCGGCACATAGAACAAGGAAATTCCATTCAGCTGGCAGTGACTGGGGACTTATACGCAACCTTATAAAGTAGATTTGTCAGATAGCTTTACTAACAGATTATTCCCTACCTCAGTATTTTCAATAGGAAGAGACTACATTAGCCAACAAACCCAGAGTTACACTGTGTGTTATATAAAGAAACTGTATTAACCAAGAAAAAGAGGGTTACAGTATGTGTTATATAAAGTATATATGCAGTACCATATGGCATATCCTATATATTAATTACATTCTCATCTTCCATATTAAGCCTACACCTTGAGAAGAACTCAAAAATAAGTTGACTGATAGATGACATAATCAAAAGCTATTAAAAATGCTTGTAAAATCAGTAGATCTCAGATAACTTTACAGAGGAGATCATAATCACTTTCTCTACTTAAGAGGTAGGGAAATGGGAATTCTACTTCTGAGCAACATGTAACACCCACTGACGTATTTCCCCATATACGCAGACGTCATTATATCAAAAAAATCACTGACGCATTTTCTAGGTACTTTACTCATTTTATCCTCCCTGAGGAAAATGTGAGATCCTTGACCAGCTGCAGCAACAGGAAGAGTAACCAAGTCCTCCAAGTTCTAGTGTGCTTTTGGTACTCTATCAGGTATGCAACTTTGTTTCCCAAAATACACTCAAAGTACTATAAAATAAGCATTTAGTGTTTTATTGGGTTTTTTTTTAAGCCCAGAGTACACAATGATTACAGTTTAAGTTCTTCCACACAGCTTAAAAGTATCTGAAAAACAGATCATTAACATGGCAAGCATCACACGTAATACGGGTGTGAAATTCACGTAACACAGGGGTGAAATTTAAGCACTGCTTAGGGGAACAGCAGGCAAACAATTGTTGCCATAGGGTTGGGAGGAGGTGGTTTGTAGGGAGTGTTGTTTGTTCATTTAAAGTATTCAATCTGTAGGCGAGATTGTGAACAATTTGTTTCAACAGATAAGCATATACTCCAAAACTTGCAACATTTTAGTGATGAGGATGAGGATTTCACAAGCCGACCCTTTTCCTCTAACCTCCTAAAATACACTTCACATTTTTTTCTTGTTATAAGGTCACTTTTATTCAGAAACCTAAATTTCAGCAGTGGCTTATTTTTCTGTATTCTTTCATAAAAGTTTAAATTGAACAAGTTTAAATCAAATACTTCTACCTAAGTTTAACGTGGCACAGCCTCACAGTATACTTAACTGCTCAGCATGAGGAGGCAAGGCCCACAGAACAGCCCAGACACAAGCTCAGCACTGAACTCTTGTTACTGGAAGAGACACAGGGAGCTGCATTTCTGCCCTTGGTGCTACCAGGAAGGTCTCCCATTTTCCTGTATTCCTCTTATGAAGCAAAATTCCTTCCACCATGAAAGAAACCCCAACCGCCATGGGTTCTTGACAGACACACCCATTGAGCATTCAACTTACCTCACCAGCCCCACCATACCTCACCTTCCAAAGCAAACAAAATAATCAGAAGTGCAAATTATGAGTACACAAACCGAAAGACCATATAGCTTCTGCGGTTTACCATTCCCTTCTCATCTGATCAAGAAATAGCCCTGCTACAGTTGGACTTTAATATCCATGTTCCCAGTGCCCAATTAGCTACTTTGAATACTTTAAAGCCTTACCATGTGCTCTCACAGGACCACACCACCACCAAATGCTTTAACAGACCCACATTGTCCTTTGGTCAGTGCTCATTTATTTATCACACAGGCTGCACTTAGCACTTTCACCCTTACA